ACTCTATGTAGTGCAATGGTTAACCATTTGGCTGCTAACCAAAAGGCTGGTGGTTCAAACCCACACAGAGGCATCATGAGAGAAAGGCCTTGTGAACTACTCCCAGCCTAGGCAACCCTGTGGTCAGTGCCACTCTGTACGTGGGGTCCCCATGAGTTGAAATCAACTAGACAGCACCCAATACCAACAGTAATTAAATGGCTGCGTTCCAGGGCATCATTTATAAGCAGCGTTCACTACTGTTCATGCATGAACCCTCTGATCACCTCTGGTGAGTTTCTAAGACAATTTCTGGTGAAGGAACAAATTGGCCTTCAGGCTGACAAGGTACTCTGTCCTGCTGTACCTCTAGTTCCTGTGATACTGCACCTTTCCAGCAGGGGGTGGGGCGTGGCAGGACAGGGCCAGCAGGGATGTGAGGAGGAAAGGTGGGCCAGCAAGGGTGTGTGGAAGGGGTAGGCCAGCAGGGGTGGAGGGGAAGGGCAGGGCCAGCAGGGGTGTGATGGAAGGGCTGAGCCGGCAGGGATGTGTGGTGGCAGAGTGGGACCAACCCTGGGAATCATGTACAGGGCATTGTGGGAAGCTCACTGGTGAGACTCCAGGATTTGGGGTGACAGAGCCCACTGAAAGGCTTACTAGCAGCTGTGGCTCATCCTGGGCACTTGGCAGATTTGTTGTTAGGTGCCATCTAGTCAGATCTGATTTAGTGACTCCATGTACAATAGAACAAAACACTGCCTGGTCCTGCACCATTCTCACAATTGTTGCTAGGCTTGAGCCCCTTGTTGCAGCCACCATGTCAATCTACCTCATTGAGGGTCTTTTTCACTTACCCTTTACTTCACCAAGCATGTTGTCCTTGTCAGGCGACCTGTCACTCCTGATAACACATCCAAAGTGAGTTGAAGTTTCACCATCCTCATTTCTAAGGAGCATTCTGGCTGTACTTCTCCCAAGACAGATTTTTTTGTTCTTCTGGTAGTCCATGATATATTTAATATTTTCACCAGCACCATAATTCAAAGGCTTCCATTCTTCTTTGGTCTTCCATATTCATTGTCCAGTCTGAAATGCATGTAAGGTGACTGAAATACCATGGCTTGGGTCAAGTGCACCTTAGTCTTGCACGTGACATCTCTGGTCTTTAACATCTTAAGAGGTCTTTGCAGTAGATTTGCCCAGTGCAATGTAACATCTAATTTCTTGCCTGCTGCTTCCAAGGGTGTTGATTGTGGATCCAAGTAAAATGAAATCCTTGACAACTTCAATCTTTTCTCCGTTTATCATGATGTTGCTTATTGGTCCAGTTGTGGGGATCTTTGTTTTCTTTATGTTGAAGTGTAATCTATACTGAAGGCTGTAGTCTTTGGTTTCATCAGTAAGTGCTTCAAGTCTTCTTCACATTCAGCAGGCAAGATTGTGTCCTCGGTATATCACAAGTTGTTAAGGAGTCATCCTCCACTCCAGATGCTGCATTCTTCTTCATATACTCCAGCTTCTCAGATTATGTGCTCAACACACAGATTGAAAAAGTATGGTGATTGGATACAACTCTGACATACACTCTTCCTGATTTTAAACCATGCAGTATCCCCTTGTTCTGTTCAATTGACAGCCTCATTGTCTACGCAAAGGTTCCTCATGAGCACAATCAAGTGTTCTGAAATTCCCATTATTTGCAAGGTTAGCCATAATTTGTTATGATCCACACAGTCAAATGCCTTTGCATAGTCAATAAAACACAGGTAAACATCCTCCTGGTATCGTCTGTGTCAGTCAATATCCATCTAACATCAGATCCTCATTCCAGATCTCTTCTGAATCCAGCTTGAATTTCTGCAAGTTCCCTGTCTATGTACTTCTGCAAAATTTGTAAAATTATTTTCAGCAAAATTTTACTTGTGTGTGATATTAATGATATTGTTTGATAATTTCCACACTCTGTTGGATCACCTTTATTTTGAATTGGCACAAATATGGATCTCTTCTAGTCTGCTGGCCAGGTAGCTGTCTTCCAAATTTCTTGGCATAGCTGAGTGAGTGCCTCCAGCATTGCACCTGCTTGTTGAAACATCTCAATGTGTGTTACAACAATTCTTAGAGTGTTGTTTTTCATCAGTGCCTTCAGTGCAGGTTCAGTATCATAGGTTCTTCATCCTATGCTAGCTCCTGAAATGACTGAATGTCGACCAATTCCTTTTGGTACAGTAACTTTGTGAATTCCTTCCGTCTTCTTTTGATGTTTTCACTGTTGCTCCATTTTTTTGCCCACAGAATCCTTCAATATTGCAACTCAAAGCTTGTTTTTTTTTCCCAGTTCTTTCAGCTTGAGAAATGCCACATATATTCTTCCATTTTCATTTTCCAGTCGTTGCACATTTCATTATAATACTTTGTCCTCTTGAGCTGTTCTTTGAAATCCACTGTTCAGCTCTTTCATTTCATCATTTCTTCTGATCTTTTTTGCGGCTCTATATTCAAGAACAAGTTTCAGAGTCTCTTCTGACACCCATTTTGTCTTTCCTGCCTTTTAAATAACCTCTTGCTTTCTTCCCGGGAAAGCTCTGGTGGCGTAGTGTCTAAGACATTTGACTGTAAACCAGAAGGCTGGCTGTTCAAACTCACCAGTCACTCCTTGGAAGGAAGATTGGACAATCTACTTCCATAGAGATACCACCTTGGAAACCCAAAGAGGGGTCACAATGAGTTGGATCAACTTGATGGCAGTGAGTCTTTTTTTTTTTTTTTTTTTCCTTCCCGTATGATGTCTTTCATGTCATCCCACAACTCATCTGGCTTTTGGTCATTAGTGTTCAATGAACCAAATCTGTCCTTGAGATAGTGTAGAAATTCAGGTGGGATATGGTCAAGGTTGCATTTTGGCTGTCATGGACTTGTTTGAATTTTCTTCAGCTTCACCTTGAACTCACATATGAGCAGTTGATGGTCTGTTCTGATGGATGATATTGCACTTTTCCATTTTCTCTTTCCATAGAAGTAGTTGATTTGATTCCCGTGCATTCCATTCAGTGAGGTCCATGTGTATACTTACCATTTCTGTAGTTGAAGAAAGGTATTTGTGATGAATAAGTCATTGGTCTTGCAAAATTCTACCATGTAATCCCTGGCATCATTTCTGTCACCAAGGCCATATTTCCCGGCTATGATTCTTTCT